TTGGGGAGGATCATGAGCCAAGGAATGCAGAAGTCTCCGGAAGCTAAAAAAAAACACACAAAAAACAAACAAACAAAGAAACAGATTCTTCCTAGCGCCTCAGAAAGCAAACAAGCAAATAAAAACCCCCAGTCCCGCCAAATGACTTTTGTCCAGGGAAACTGACCCGGGCTCCTGGCCTCCGGAGCTGGAAGAGAGCACAGATGGCTGTGAAGCCACCAAGTTGCTGGTAATTTGTCACAGCAGCAACTTGTCAACAGCGAGCCACGCTCCCACCTCTGGACTCCTTGTGGAGCGACAGCCTGTCCTGTTGGCGCCCGCGCTTCCAAGCCTCTTCCAGCAAGGCCGCTGCTGACAGCACAACGCGCTCGCCCTTCCTGGTGCCTTGGGGTCAGCCCGTGGTCCGGAGCCACGCCTCCAGGCCAGGGGGGCTGGGAGTCTTTATTCCAAGGGGCCCACTTAGGAACTCAGGAAGAGAAGGGGAAAGCACGCGTTGGGGGGCGGCAGGCGGCCTGGGCACCTCTTCGGAGCATTCGTGTTCAGGGAACGCACTTTGGAGCAGTGCATTGCTCTATGAGGAAGCAAAACTGTGCCGCCTGGACTGCAGGCCCACACTGCCGGATAGCAGTGCTTGGGGATTCCCAACTCTGCCGCGTTTATTTCTCCTGCGAGAGCTCCCCAGCCCTGCAAAGAAGCAGGACTAGCCCTCGCCGGTTTGGCTCAGTGGATAGAGCATTGGCGGTCCGAAGGGTCCCTGGTTCGATTCCCCTCAAGGGCATGTAACTCAGGTTGCAGGCTCCTCCCCAGCCTGGGCCCTGGTCGGGGATAATGCAGGAGGCAACCCATCGAGGTGTTTCTCTCACATCGATGTTTCTCTCTGTCTTTCCCTCTCTCTTCCACTCTCTCTAAAAAAAAAAAATCAATGGGAAAATATCCTTGGGTGAAGATTAACAAAGCAAAACAAACAAAACAGGGGCTGAACTAGTCCTACTGCTGCACTCAGGGCCTGGTATCTTTTAGAGTCAGTGGCTGTGGGGGAAACAGAGGCCTGAGCACTGCACTCAGCAAGTGAGAAGCCATTTTCAATTACACCCTGTGGCTCACGGTCTACCCAAGGCCAGAGTGAATGCTGGTTGCCATGGCACCACTTTAAGTCATGTTTGCGCCCACACACTGTCACATGTGCCCCCATACACTGGAGCCACAGCGCTCTCCCTACCGCATCTTGATTGATGCTTGAGCTCTGCACCAGGCATGGAGACGATCGGTAGGAGAGCGATTCTTATGCCAGACACCAGGCATTGGAAATGCCTGAACCAGAAAACGAGAGCCAGCTCTGCTTGCAAATCTCCGCTGGGTGGCTTTGGGCAAAGGCTTTCATCTCTGTGCCTGGGGTCCCTCCCCCGTGCCCGGACGAATGGAGGGAATGCACCCAAGGTCTCCTGACCTCCTGGGGTAACGGGCCCTGGTTCCCCTGCGAAGCTGCAGGGTGAGCAGAGTTGTGGGGAGTGAACATCACAGCCGGAGGGAGGCCATTCCTGTAAGCTCCTGCACAGTCCTCGCTCACCGACTGTTTCTGCAGCTCCCCTCCAGCTCCTCCGGGGCCCTCGAGACGTGTCTTGAGTCAAGTCCCTGGCAAGATGCCACTTGCCACTTCCCTTCTGAAGGGCTAAGGGAGCTGTTTTGCACTTGGGTTGAGTCATTATTTGTCCTGGAAATGATTTCTTCTTGCGGGAGCCCCTGGTTCAATGCTCAGGACTCGGGTCCCAAACACTGTTTGGTCCCCCCTCAAATAAAGTCCATCACAAAACTAGAGAAAGGCACTCCGTGAGGCTGGCCGGGGGCCTGCTGGACAGGGAGTGTCTCCTGGGACGGAGGGAGCCATGAGGGAGCAGCTGTCATGCTGGTCTAATCGTGTACAGCCGGGTCCACCAGGCAGCATGCCAATGAGGTCATCTCTACATTCCCGCCTACAGTGGCCTGACCCCTCACCTGCTGACTGCAGGAACAGGGCTCCTCCCCAGCCCGGCCGGCGTGGCTCCGTGGTTGAGCGTCGACCTATGACCCAGGAGGTCAACAGTTCTATTCCTGGTCAGGGCACATGCCCAGGTTGCGGGCTCAATCCCCAGTGTAGGGTGTGCAGGAGGCAACTGATCAATCTT